ACAGAAATGTTATCTGCAATTAACAAAATTCCATAGTAGTTACAGTTTGTTTATTGTAGTTCTGGTAATTCATAATTACAGGATAAATGGTAACCTTCAGGTTGCTGCCTTTTACAAGAGAAAGTAGGAAAGAAAGTAGTACGAAAGAAACATTTAGAATTGAATTTTACTGCATTTAAATTAAACACTTGTATTGCCAGTTTTCTTTCATTTCTTTTTCTTGCCCTCTTCTCCCCTTTGTTTTTTCCATTCACATACACTTTTTGGTTGTGTGGGTTCCTTGATCAGATCTATCAGACTTCTTGAATGAAGTCTAAAGGTTGCCAGTTTTGGCAAAGGATTAGCCTACTTTTCATCTAATGGCCTTTTTTTAGCATGTTTAGATTCAAAACTATATACTGATACGTCTAAATTTCTGGTAAATATACCCAGGAACTATTTCTGAGCATGTTGAATAGGCAGTAGAAGGGTAGCTGGTCTACCCTTTCTTTCCTAGTGTGCATGTGTCTTGTCAACTGCATATGGGTTTTCAGTACACAGGATGCATTTGGAATACTATAAAGAAAGGGTGTGTATGTGTGTGTGTGTGAAGGTTCAAGGTGATTATTTCTGCATTCAGAGCGGTCAAAGGTGGACTTGAGTTACGATTCATTCCTAAGTTATGTGTATCCTTACTAGAGGAAAAATTGAGTGTCATTTAACTCCTTAGTTCAATCTGTATTTGATTCAGCTTTTAACTTGCAGGTGAGGAATACTGAGTTCTAGATTTGTTATTGATGTGCTTCAGTTACATTTCTCTTCTAAGAACTGAAGAAGCAGGGAGTCAGACTTTTCTTCATTCTGTGTTCAGGGATGGAACAAGTTACTCCAGTAGTTATACTTCCTTGCCTGCAGACCTTGCTTAAGAGGACACAGTAAACTTGTTACAGAGAAGCTAACATTTTACAAACCTAATGTAGATGTGTGCACGGACTTTTCTGCCATAGTTGACAAGTGCGTATTTGTCTTTTGACTCACCTTGCAACGACAAAATCCTGTGCATACGTGGGCTTTGTGCCCATCTTGCATATGCTGAAAGGACAGGCGTGGAGAGAGGAGCTGCTTCCAAGTAGGCCCGGGTTGCATTAAGCAATATATATACAAGATGTAAGAGTCTTTGTTTAGACTGCTGGATCATTCTAGGTATTTTACTATCCAAATTGTTAACTTAGTGTTAACTTACCTTGGGTGCTGCTGTCATAGATTGAGTATATCCTCCTCTGACTACTGCTGGAATTAGCCACGCTAAGCACTACATAACAGTTGAATCTCTGGCGCAATTAAGTTTTCTCCCTCTTTTTTTGAGGAAGGAGAGTAGGAGGACAGCATACTGTATGTTCTGTTGAGTTTTGATTTGAAAATGCTGTATTTTTACAACATGAGATGCATTTAAGAATTAAGTTATGTGATTACTCAAGGTTTGGGTGGGTATTGCAGTCTGCTATTTAATATTATAAAATCACCTTTATTTCCTCTACTCATTCTAAAGTGCTTTAATTTCACACATTTTTGTCAAGGCTTCTGATTACACTGTATTGTTCCAACAGCTTCTGAAGATGACTCTGAAGACTGATGCTGGTAGAACTTTCATACTGCAAGAAACAAGCAGAATTGCTGCAGAAATGCTGAACTGGCAAGAACAACATCAACATGCATTTGGTTTATTCCTCTCCTTAGTAAAATGCGCATTGAATATTACTGTAGTTTTTGAAGCATTGTTGAATTCAAAATCAACTGCAGCACAGTGGAGCTCAGTAGACTTGAGAACTACTCAGCATGTGTGCGGATTAGATACATAGAAAGCAACTTCCCTTTTTAAATTATGAGGATGTTGTGCTTTGTTTTGGAAGACATCAGATTCTGAATATTTAAGGAAGCTCTATCTCCCTTTGTGTTTCCTTCTTACTGTAGTCAGACTTCTGGCTTTGTCTTACTGAGTTTTGCTCCTGTACTGGCACTAAGTGGTTATAGGGGGTTTCAGGGGGAGGGTGGGGATGCCCGTGTACTTAAATAGGTTTTGTTTGGGTGTTCTTAAATGCCTCTTTTGCTGCATCATATAACTGATTGCTTCCATTGTTAATGAATGAACAGGAGGATAAGCAAGATACTGTAGAGATTGTTTGGGTTTAGGCTTATTTGAAGATTATTATTTAACTCAAAAAGCAATAAGAACTTGCAGTGGTCTTTTAATACTTGGTGATGGCTTTTTTATGTATCAGTTTGGAAATCTGAGATTATATTTGATATCATGCGGCTGTTCCATTATGGAATATTACAGGTAAACTCTTGCATTTCAGCATTCCTGGCAGATATGCAACTTGACAAAGACCTCTGGTTGTTTAGTTTAATCAGACTTTTTTTAGATCCCACCTTCACTGTTCAAAGCACTGGTTATCAATGTGTTTTCTAGTGTTGTCACTTCTTTATAAATAAAGACGAAAGAGGTATGCATCTCTACTGGTATTGTCCATTTCATTTAAGTGTGGATATCTACCAGATTTTACGCTTGAAAACATAGAAAGCTGGAGTCTGTGGGATATCTTCACTAATGTTTCTAAATTCTTACCCAGATATTTAAGACCGTTCTGACCATTTTGGATTGAAATGCTTTCTATAAATGGTGGTACAATAAATTCTTAAACGTGTATTGGAATTGTATTTCCTACAGATGTGTTAGTTTTGTAATTACCTCAGTAACAATGTATCCACAAAGAGTGCAGTATGTTGAAATGCCATAAGTTTAGTTTATTGTTGCAGTGCGAAAAACTAACCTCCTGCAGAGGAAAGGATGTGCCTTATCAGCTGAAATGAACTCATGATTTGTAGAATTAACTTTGCTAGCATTACATGAGTTGGCCTGTCATCTGTAAGATTTGAAAGAAAATGGAATGCTAAGGAAATTGCATATTTCTATGCCCATTCTGGTAACTTTAGGCATTCGGTGCCAACGCTTACAAGTATTATGCAGTAATTAGTTGAAATACAGCTCCGGGACATTTGTCTGAAAAGTGAAGGTCTAGGCATATGTGAAGATGTTTCTAACTCATTTCTGAGGAAGGTGAATCTAAGTTTATAATAAATGTTAAATCCTTGCTGAGTTTAGATGGTACCGCTTAATAAAATGTCATACAGTGAAGCAGTCAGTATTTTATATGCACTCTATACATTTAGGGTTGCAAGCATGGGTTCTGATACCCTAATAAATTGATGACTTGAAGGATATTTTAAAAAATTTTTCCTCCGTCTTCGTAACAAACACCATTCCACGAAGGTGAGCAAAATACGGAGCTCCACGTACAAATGCGGTTGAAGGGATACGTACGTTCGATGTTCTACAGCCTTGTCGAGCTTCAGTGCAAATGAAAGAGTGACATGGGGGAATGCCACAGTGGAATTGATGAAGAGTAGAGGGTCTGAATGCACCACTTGGGAAGAATGCTGCCACCAGACCCAGCTGCCTTCTCAGAGGAGAGCTGCCTTGCAGCCCTGATGGCCCACAGCTTTAGATGGGTAGAGCCTGGGAGCAGCCAGGTTAGTTGTGATCTGTGTAGCTGTGCTGTGAGATCTCTGTCCATGGGCACACCTGTCTGTGCAAGCTCTTGTGGGTCCATGCAAGCGGATTTTTGTTAGCACACTACACACGTGTCCATGTAGGTGTCTGTGCAAACATGAATTTTGTCTTGTCCACACCTGCACGTGCCCTGTTTGTTCCCAGGGTTTCAAGACGTAAGGAATATCTGTGGCTTGTTGCTTGTTTTAGCAATTCATAGGCATACCTGGTCCTCAGTGGTGGGCCCAGATCTCAAACATTCTGAGTATTGCTATAGGAGAGGTGATCAGAGGAGAGGGTCCTGCAGAGGTGGGGCAGCGTGTTCTGAGCCAATTTCCTGCTCCACCCTCAGACGCGTGGTCAGTCCCATCCCCCCGCCCCCGACTCACTCCCTCGAGGGCTCAAAAGGCTGGCATGTGAGAACTGCATGAAAAATCTAGTTTGCCTAAGAGTGCCTCATCCCATCGTGGGGCCAGTTAAGAGCTGTGAGGTTGACAGGATGCAAAGGTGTTTTCCGTGCCACCGTGAGTATTTAGGGCTGTGGCTCCTGCGGAGCTCCTAGGTGCTCTGCTGGATGTGCTCCAGGACGTCCATCCCGGGCTCCTGTGTTGGGGGTGAGAAGGAGAGCACATTTTTCCACGTTACAGTTCTGACTGGTGCTACTGCGTGTGCAGTAGCCTTTTGTTCTGTGCCACCCTCACCTTCCAGGCTGTTTGCACTGCACTGACCTGCCTTGTTTGAAACGTCCATCTTGTGCATTGCTGCGCTCCTCCCAGACCCGAGCACGGGCTGGGCTCTTCTGCTCGTTAGCGCTGCAAATAAGGCTGCACGTGTGCAGCACAGAGGATCCCACCCGTGCACACGAACTCTGCAGCGCCGTGCATGCGCAATTAAAAAGGAGTAATAAAACTCCTTAAACATAAAAACACCCAGCAAAAAAACCGTGCACGTAAGCGACAGGACTCGAAAAAGCAAAGGGACGAGCGACGACTCGGACAGCCGCACGCGCAACACAGAGTTACTGCGCATGCGCAGCAAGGAGCGGTGTTGTGTGTGGGAGGGGGAGCTGCGTATGGGCTGCTCGCTGCCTCCCCCTGCTGGCTGACAGGAGGTGCTGCAGCCTCCCGGGGAAAGGCTGCAACGCGCGCAGCGCCCGATGACGCTGATTGGAGAGAGCCGCTCTGTGCGGGGAGCGGCCGCACTGCGCACGCGCTGTGCGGGGAGTGCCGCCGCCTCGTGCTGTGACAGACGTCCCGTACCGCAGCCAGGACCTCACGCCTCCCTGGGTTCTGTAACAAACATCCCGTACCGCAGGCAGGAGCTCACGCCTCCCTGGGTTCTGTAACAAACATCCCCTACCGCAGGCAGGACCTCACGCCTCCCTGGGTGCCGCCGCCTCGTGCTTGTCCTGTCCTTGTGGGGCCACAGTGCCCAGAGTGCAAATCGCACAGCTGTGGCGCTGCTGCTGCCAGGCATTCGTAGTCTCCTATTACTTCTGGGGCCTGAATTGCCTCCAGAAATCAAGGATTGTTCCCAAATGTCATCCCCTGGCTCTGGAACTCGGTGAACTTGTGTTCCCCAAAGTCCAGGTGCTGCTTCTCAGTGCTGTGTGCACCTCTTACCTTTGCCTGCTGTGAGCAGCTTTGTGTAGCAGCTCAATGAAGTCCAGTTCAGTGGTTTCTGTACCAGAAACCCCTGTAGTGAGCAATCAAAAGGGAGGTGTGAAAGATGGCATCCTTTGACTTCCACAGTGGGCTTAATTTTTTTTTTTTCTCCTCTCCTTCAGGACAGGAAGAACCATTAAGTGGGCCCAGTGATGTCAGAAGCTTTGGTGTTTGAGGAGCTGAAGCCAAGAGGCTCTGGCCCTGGAGGTCTGCAGTGGAGGGCCCCTGGTCCTGCCCACACTGCAGGGTAAGTCAGAGGGATGCAGGGTTTCTCTTTTCCTGTCTGCCATTTCTGACACCCAGTCCTACCTGTGTCTGCTGGAAGAGGGCAGAGGTGAAGAGGCAAATGCCAGAATTCCTTGGGGATGATGGCGTTGTGTTCGGCTGTGCCCAGAGGGGCAGATTTGGCTTATTTTGTGCATCTAAGGACTGGTCTGAGGGTTCAGGAGCCCAGGGAGCCAAGCTGTTGGTGTATTCCCAGCTCTCCCAGGGTGGCAGCTGGTGCAGGGCTGGGTGACAGCCTCTGCTTGGGCTGGGAGCAGGCACTGGCCCCAGCACAGATGCGGGTGGGATTTGGCAGGATTTGGAAGCAATGGGAGGAAAATGAGGGATGCTGCTGGGTGAAGTGATTGGCCTGTGCTCGTGTCAGTGCAGCCAGGCAGGGTGCTGTGATCTAGGTAAAACTCCACCTCTCCTGGGTGTTCAGGGATGCAAGGTCTGAGAGACTTCTACCTGTGGTTTTCCATGACAGCAGGAACAAGAGGAAATGTGGTGCCAGAACTGTGTCCCATAAGATTGTGTTTCCCTCTTTCCCATTTCCATTTCCTCCTCAGTGCAGATGTCCTCTGCAGCCCACAAGCACAGGCCTGGTGAAAACTCCATGTCCTCCTCCTCTCTCCCTGTGCCCCTTTGTTGGACAAGGCTAGAACAGCAACACACATTCCCAAAGACTGGCTGCCTCCTTAAATCCGTGGACCAGTTAGTGTTGTCTCTGAATACCTGAAATGAGCTTTCGTTGCCTAGAAACAAGTAGGAATGACAAACAAAGGGATTTGAATGTAGAAATAGGTGAGTTCCACCTGCTTACTGCTGCTGACCCAGAGGCTGGGGCTCAGGGCAGCCCTTCGCTGGCACACTGATCCTGCACTGGGGTGTTGTGGTGTTGCCAAACTGAGACTATTCATCACCTCTTAGGCAATGATAGCAGTGCATGTGAAGGTCAGGCCAGACTGGCATGGCAACCTTTTCAGCAATTCACCAGTTGAGCTGGTGCCAGGGTGAGCCCAGTCTCTAAATTTCCCTTGCATGCCTCAAGGTGTGCAACATAAGATTTGTGCTTGTTTGAAGGACAGGGTTGAGATTTGCGCTTGTTTGAAGGACAAGATGGAGCTGGTCTCCTGTGCAGTGAGTGACAGGTGATGTTCTCTTTGCTGCACATTGGTGACAGGGAGTTCTAGAGTAATACAGACATGCTGGGTAGAGAAGGCACAAAAGAGTGCTATCCTTTCAAACACAGAAACTGGTAAAAAAAATGTGATTTGTCTCTCACTGATTGTGTTCCCTTCAACCCAAGGAAGCTGTATGGAGCTGATGACTTCATGTATGTATTGACATATGTGCTAGCCCAGTGTGATATGCTGGAGCTGGACACTGAAATCAAATGATGATGGAAATGCTGGATACATCCTTGCTGTATGGAGAAGGCAGTCTATTTATTTTATTTTTACTAGAACTTCATGAAGGACTAGTAAGGGGGATGGTTCTTCCTCTTCCTTTGTTTGAATGGCACACTTGTTGTTACTCTTTTTTTAAGTAGGAATCCTTTTTTTTTAAGTAGGAATCCTATTAACGAGAGACCTAATGACAGTGATGTTGCTAGTGTAACAAGAGAATGGCATCACCATTTGCACTGCAGAGCACAAGCCCCAGTGGCCTGAAAATTTGCTGTTGTGTATTGTTTTATGAGCAAAAATATGTTCTTTCCAAGCCATTTTGACTCAGCAGGCAAACACATGCACTGCACAGGTGCCAAATGATCTTAGCCTTTTGTGCCTGAAATTTTCTGAAAGGATTTATGGGGGAGCAGCACACAGCTAATTGTGAGGCACATCATGAGACTTGGGTTTGGTGCTTTGTGAAAACTTTTGGGAGACTTCTTTGCACCTTTGCAGAACTGCTTTTGAGAGTAGTGCCCCCTTTTAATGATCTTTGCTTCTTCCCAATATTTACTTCTCACAAAGTATTTTTATGAACCCTAGGAATATGTTTCCTGAGCCTCATTTCTTGAATGAGGGCTAAATTCTGCTAGAGGCAAGGAAATCTGCCTCCTTGCTGTTTCCATGATAGCATTTTTAATGAACTTTTCTGCAAGGCTCTGGTAGGTCCCAGAATCTGAAAGGTTTATGGGGAAGTTTCAAGGTTCTTGCAGCCAAGCTCAGCTGTGTGTTTAGTTCCTGTTCCTGCTATATCTTGGCTTTCTGAAATTGCTATATCCACTTGCATGCCAGTATGCCTGAGAGAATTTATGCCATGATTCCTCCAATTTGGCACTAGTCTGTTCCTTGCTTGGGGAACAGAGCATCCTTCAGTGCATTGTTAGGAATCTTAGCATGGAAGATACTTGAGATGTGAAGCTGGAGATCATTAACATGTTTGAAAAGCAGAAAGGTTTACTGGACTATTGCCGTGTTGTTTTGAATGCAGCAAAGGAAGTCCGTCCATTGGCTGGGCCTGTCATTTGCACTAGTTCAGCTCTACTGTGCAGAAAAAAATTGTTTGATGCTTTGGGGTTGTGCATTTCAACTGTAATGTATTGTCCAATTTGTCTAATAGGCCTTGCATGAATTTTATGTGTTAATCTTGCTGCAAAGATAAAGGCTGAGAGGGGATGCTATCAGTAATACAGAAAATACTACTATGGGCATAGAATGCATCTCTGAATACCTCTGAAGAGACTGTGCTACTGCTAGCTGGATAGTCCCACCCAAATAGTTGACTTTAAAAAGAAAAGACAGACAGGATGTCTTTTGTTTCTTCTGGTTGCTGAGGACTGTTACCTCCCACTGAGAGTCTTGAGACCCTGCAGCTTCTTTTGTACATTGGCAACTCTGTTGTGGCTTTAATTTGTTCTCTACTCCTGTAATAAAGGTGGAGTGTGCAGGACTGTACACACCATCTCCTGAACTAGTTGGATGTTATGGAGAATGCTAAGAAGGTGACAGATCAGTTGTTGTTTTAAAAACAAAGGCAATTTTTTGGGATGATTCCAGAGTACAAATCTCACACTCAGTTTTGGCTTTATTGCCACTGAGGGTGGTTGCTTTTAAGTTGATGAACACTAGTAGACTGTCTTACTTTGTTTAAACAGCCATGTTTATTTCATCCACCTCCGAAGCTTGGGAAGAAACCAAAACAGTGTTTGGAAATTATTTAGAATAAAGCTGGTGTTCCGAGAGTGGAGGAGTAAACACTCAGGAGCGAAGGAGTGACAGGAGTCATTTAAGGAATCAGCTTTCCTCAGTACAAGAGGAACCAGCCATGGGCACTTCTGTGTAATATGGAGCACATGCAACCACTACATCTCTCTAAGCAGCTGAGAACATACCCTCCAGTGTTTTGCAGGCCAGTGAGCTGTTTTCCTTTTGTGTGTAAATATTTTGGCAGTAGAATACAGGGACTCTCATATCTATGTGTGTGGCTGGGTGCCTCTCTGTGCATAATTATGTATCTCAAAGAAAACTGCCTGTACTTGTGACTGGGACCACTCTGAGAAGTTCTTCCCTTTCTGTCCTTCACAGGAGGCTATTACTTGAGAAGCACTTATGGAGCACTTTTGCTGCTCAAGAAATTCCAGGAAGAACAAGCTGCCCAGCTGTCAGTGCCCCAGGAAAGCTGAGACCCTTGTGCCTGACCAATCTGTCAGTGTCCTGTTAGAGGGACCCTTCGTTAAGTAGTCCTGCTGGATTCGAGGGAAGTCAGACTGACATTCAGGGAAATAGGCCAAGAGCATAAGGGAGACCCCTCAGCAGGTCTTCCCACTTCATGATCCCTCAGCTGGACTTCCTATTTGAATATGTTACCTGCTGCTGGCAACTGCTAGCATCCATGAAGGAGTCACACTTTGGAACTTTATGGAACAGTTTATGGAACTATACTCTTTATAAATATAAAATTATGACAGGTTAATGTTCAGGGATTGTTGGTGATTGTATCTGTCAGTGATAGTATTTCTGCAAAAACTCATTCAAAGGAATATACAGACAAGGTGTAGTCCCCAGTAAAAATATTCAGCAGGCAGAGTGCATTTCTAACCCAACAGGCATTCCTATGGGGGAGAAGACAGGTTCAGCCCATTGATTGATCCCAGCAGTTATGATGGAGCCTTCACTAACTTTTTCTCCATCCTTGGCTTACTTTTAGAGTAGGGGTGTCACCTCTTAAATTTGCAAATGTCACAGGATTTCTTCTAAATGAATGGTGCTAAGAACATAAGGTCTGGCTGGCTTTGGACTTAGAGGTGCCTCCTCTAAATTGATAAGTGCTCCTGCAAATGCCAAATAGCCCTTGCAATGCAGTTAATCAGCTTCAAAGTACCATCAGGTTGCTGCCCCTGCAAAGATTTGGCAGGGCCTGGTTGTGGTGTCTCCATCCCACTCCACCCCCCTTAGCAGGTGCTTATGGTTGCATGGGGAATCATCATGGAGCATGCCAACCCAGTTCTATCCTGGGAACAGCACCTGTATTTTACCCTAAAATTTCTGTCCCGTTATAACTCCTGTTAGGATATAAATGTAACTTCTCTGTTTCCTCTGATTTTACCCCTAGTCATCTTTCCATACAAACATTGCTCCACTCTCCAGAGGATTATTGTGAGCAGATGTGAGCTCTGCTGTCCCTTTTGAGTGAGAAGGACAGAGGTTTTTTCCCAAGTTCCTTTTGAACCTGTCCTGCACCTGTTACAAGTCCTCAGTCTCCTGCAGTTTTGTGGGTCAGTCACATGTAAAACAGCACAACTGGCTGGCATGCTCTGCTCGTGAGGGGAGACAAGAGACGAATCCCTCTGCTCACACCAGACCTCCAGCTGCCAAACCTAACCAAAGCACCTGTGGAGGCCCTGGGGATCGATGGCACAGAAGGGAGGTGATGGAGAACAGCACAGCAGGCAGCCTGCCCTCCATCTGGGTTTGAAGAAGGCAGGGCTGGGAACTGTCAGCAACATCCCACCAGGTCTGGCTCATGGTGCCACCCTGAGGGTTTCCCCTGCCTTTGGGCAGTCCCAGCAGCTGCAGCTCACTTGACAGAGACTCACTGTCTATACTGTGCTTGGCTGCACTGGAGAGGATGAAGCCGAGGACAGCAATGGTTGCCTTCACATCCCCTGACTGCAGACGGGAGGGAGGGCGAGCTCTGTCACCTTGGGAAGGCACCCGCAGACTCACTGCTGCCCATCTGTGGAGCACGGCTCCACCGGGGGATCGTGGTAAGGACAGCAGCGCGCACCTAACTTTGCACCCGAGGTCAGCTTCAGGATCTTGTCATACTGTGGGAGAGCAGAGCTTCACAGTAAACACCAGCTAATACACTCACTACCAGTGCTAACACTAACAATTCTTACCTAAATATAATACTAGTAACACTTACTGTGCATATTGTTAATACTAGTAACACTTACTGTGCATATTGTTAATACTAGTAACACTTACTGTGCATATTGTTAATACTAGTAGAGGCCAGTAGTGTTCTTAACGCTGAGGCTTGGATGAAGAACACAAAATTAATGTTGCTGATTTTGCTATTGTAGTGTTGAAATACTTGGTCTCCACTGCGGTAGCTCCACACTTAGCTCAATGGCCTCCCCCAGCAGGTCCCACAGCACCTGGATGCAGATCAGCTTAAGCTTCACTGATGTCATAAACAGAGGTCACTGTTTAAAATATTTTAAATTTTAATAAAGCATAAAAGGAGAAAATCATCCAGCACTGGGGTGCCTTTGGTGCACGGCCAAAGAGCGCAGAGGCAGCTTACAATCATGTTCACTATATACTGGTTACATTGCTGGGGTTACACGCGTATTCATTAGCTTATACATTATTCAGAAATTCCTTAAGAGTTTTTGATGTTCCAGGAAGTCTCTTGTTTGGTTTTAACCACTGACTTGTCTGCAGAACATTCTGTAAATTAGGTCTACATATTTTATTTCTTCCTGTAGTTTTATCCTCTTGTTTCACATCCCTGATAGTGCAAATAGAGTCGATAAATCCTTCCTGGATGCTTACGCTCTGTTTTTGTCACTGTTGTCTTATCACTTGGTAGGGCCAGTTCGCAGGTATAAGAAACAGAAT